CTTGGAAATAATGCCTGTGGTGGGACTGAGGATAACTGCTTTGACCGGTATTGAGTGGTAGTGTAGGTTTCTGACCTTTTTTTTTTTTTTTTTTTGCCTTATTCGGTTTGCAGTTTTTTCCTGATGCGTTGTGGCCTTGGTGTTCGAGTTATTCATGTTTGTTGTGGCTGCTCACCCTGTATTGGCTGCTGACTTTCATTTCTTCTCCATTATTAAGTTGCACCTCCCAATTTCTCATTCCCCGAATGATGTGGTTTCTTGTAACTCGCTGATCATTGATTCATTGATAATAGTTCTGTGCAGTCATGAGCTTGAATTATTTTAGGTTTTAGCTTGTCGATCTGAGTCAGCTGTTGGAGGGCCAGTGAACCCTCGTGAGGGGACGTTCCTTTTACTGCCGCGGTTTCCTTTCAGGCACAGAGACAGCCACAGAGACAGAGAACTCTACTTAAAATTACTTCTAATTAATGATTTAGAAGCACTGTCATTTCCTCTTAAGCTAGCATCTGACTCATTATCATTAGGGACTGCTGGATCCATTAATTTATTCATCATGTGTGTATTGAGCACTGCTGTGCTGTGCTAGGTACTCAGGAAGCACAGATAAAGACGCAGCCCCACCTCCAAGATGCTCCTACCGGTAAACAATTACAAGAAGTAGGTAGAAGGTCATGGCAGTACCTTGGAGAGGCACCTGAAGGTCATGGAAGGCTTCCCGGTGCAATGGCTCAGAGCTGTGTTGAAGGAGGGGTCGGAGTAGTTAGGCTCGGTGAAGAGGAGGAGGAGTGGATGTTCAAGAAATGATAGTGACATGGACTGCAGCGAAAGACAGTTCTGAGGTCCCACCAATACTGAAACCATTTCCAGGAGCTGACTAGGGGTACCAAGTACGGGATGGAGGGAGGGAAGAAGAGGGGCTAGGAGCAAGCCAGTCTGGGCCAGAGACCCAGGAAGACAAGTTCTGAGATTCCACGTATGATTTCTTTTGATTCTGGCTCAGCCTGAGATGGTGGGGGCTTTTATGTGAAGTCAGGGGCAGTGGGAGCAGAAAAGAGAGCTGGGTTAGAGTCAGTCTTGATGGGGCACATGGATGTTGGTACATTTCACGAAAACGGAGTAAAGAAGAGGCTCAGGTTTTGGGGATAATGGTAAGGTACATTTGGGTCATGTTAATCAGTGTCCAGGTTCCTCAGGAGAGGGAGACAGATGCTTCAGATAGGGTTTTTTTTTTGAGTCATCTGGCTTCACAGAATGGTCTTATTACTTGGAGTAGATGAGACCAAGTGGGAAATGTATCGTGAGGGCATTAGTTCCTAATCTTGAACTTGCCTACTATACAAGGAAATATTTTATCTGTGGCTTACTTTTTTTCCTCTTTAAACTATTTTCAGTTTTAGCTATATGTGCAGAATCATCTTTATGTTTGAAACTTTTTCACAATTCTAGGAGCTTGTTGAGTGTGTATGTTGGATGGGTTAGGGGTTCCTAACTTCTCTGAGTTATAAGAGGGAAACAGGTGTCCAGCAGATTGTTTTGAATTAGATTTTCTTTCTTTTTTTTTTTTTTTTTTGAGACGGAATTTCACTCTTGTTACCCAGGCTGAAGTGCCGCAAGCTGCGTCTCCCAGGTTCAAGCGATTCTCCTGCCTCAGCCTCTCGAGTAGCTGGGATTACAGGCATGCGCCACCAGGCCCATCTAATTTTGTGTTTTTAGTGGAGATGGGGTTTCTCCATGTTGGTCAGGCTGGTCTCGGACTCCCGACCTCGGTGATCCTCCTGCCTCAGCCTCCCAAATTGCTGGGATTACAGGCGTGAGCCACCATGCCCGGCCTAGATTTTCTTTCATTGTAGTGGCAGGTCACTTGTTCAATGTGTAAGTAGTTTTTACTCTGAGGGACCATCAGATTTCCAGTGTTACTTTTTTTTGAAGTTTGTGATGTTGGGATTCAGTCTTCCTTACTCTTTAGAGTTTAGTATAACCATCTCTTGGTTTGTTTGTTTGCTTGTTTGTTTATTTATTTATTTATTTGAGATGGGGTCTC